GGTAGTTGGCGGTTACGGTAAACCATGGTACGATGATCGACGGACGGGAAAGCACGGATGGAAAGGAGTCAAAATTGCTCGCTTCGACGCCCCCCTCCACGACGATTGATTGCAAGAACCGTCGCAGACTATCACCGCCTTGTTGCAGAAGAGAGCGGTTTGGGTGGGTGGATGTCCGGTAGACATACACGCGACGCGGGTAACCGTGTTTAGACACACACGCGACGCGGGGACCCGCGTGTTCCGGTTCCAGCAGTAGTGGCGGCTACGGTATAAAATGGTTGATAGAAGAAGAGAAAGTAGGGGTTTAAGAGAGTCAAAATTGTATGCTCGCTCCGACCCCCTCCTCCACAATTGACCGCAAGAACCGTCGCAAGCCATCGCCGCCTGTACTGCAGAAGACAGCGGTTTGAGTAAAACACCCGGCGCGACGCAAACCATGTGTTCCGGTTGCAGCAGCAATGGTGGCCACGTACGGTATTGAGAGAGCCGATAGAAGACCAAGCACGGATTTTGATGTGGGACAATCGCGCCTCCCGCATTGCATCGGCAGCCTTTTCCTCTTTGGTGGGTGCGGGTGGGAAGCGTAAGTGTTCTGGAGTGCTTCGAAAAAATCGATCCCACACCCTATGGTGTGGCAATGATTGGCAGCCTGGTCGTAGATGCGGAGCATTATGGAGCGCTTCGAAAAATCGACGCCACATCCTATATGGTGTGGCGTTGATTGGCAGCCTGGTTGTGGATGCGGAGTGTTGTGGAACAAATCGCGCCTCGGAAAAAATCGACCCCAGGATGTGCGGTCGCCCGCACTTTTTCACGCGTCACTATTGTACTGCTGTAAATACAATCACTTCGTGGAACTCCAACGAGTATACCATGGGCGTGACACAAGATATCACACCTCCCGGACCAACTTTCAAAGCTCGATTGCTTCCACAGCAGATATGAGTGGTGGCGGCGCAGAAAAGGTCGCACCGGACCCGTCTCATGGAGAGCTTTCCCACAACGTGTCGTTTGTTTGAGACATTCTCTGCCGCGCGGAGTAATCGAGCTTAAAAAAAATCGGTCCGCGGGGTGTGTCACTACTTGTGTCACCTACGGTGCCATACGCGTGCCGACGAAAAACAGCACGAAAAGGCTACGAAACAAGATTGAAGCTACACAGTATCGGTTTGTACGTTACCTCCGGGTAGTAGCACTACTGCCCTTCGTACAATAGCTGGGTTGTTGTTGTTGTTGTTGTCTTCACATAAAAACTGTTCCGGTCTCCGCTCAGTACCTTGTCATGTCCGTACTATACTATAGTCTACGATACTATAACAGTACAACTGACGCGAACGCCTTCCACGGTCACAAGCCAACTACCCCCAAATTGGGTGCACACCTTTCTAGAAAGAAATCTAAACTGGGGCCCCAGAAAAGTCTTCCAAGACGCGATTTGTTACCAAAACGAAAAAGAAAACATCTTTTCAACAAAAAACACAATGAAAGAATCTCCATGTTGAAGCGCTCCTGTACGACAGAAAATGCTGCGTGGGTGATCGCTGAATTAGAGCGATGAAACTAAAAACACAAAGTACCTAAAAAAAAGAGCTATATCGAGCCAAGCGCACCTGATTTAGAGCGATGAAACTAAAAAAACAAAGTACCAAAAAAAAAAAACTATATTAAGAGTCAAGCGCACGAAAAAAAGGCAACGCTGTGTACATCTGCGAAAGCAATCGCACCTGCGGTCTCAAGAGGAGAGGAGCTGTTCGCCATGGCGCCAGTAGGACCCGCTCCAGACAAGCGCAGCCAGAACGGGACCGGTTCAGCAGCAGTCGCAGCAGCAGCAGCAGCAGCGGCGGCAGCAGTAGCTCTAGGCATCAACCCGGTCTTGGAGCGCCCCGGCGCCGTCGCCGCCTCGCCGCCAGCGCCCCCGCTACCAGCAGCCGTTGCAGCAGCACTAGGAGCAGCGCTCGCGGTCGCCCCCGGAACAGCAGCCGCCGCAACAGCAGTAAAAATGGCGGAAGCTGTCGCAGCAGCAGTAGCGGCGGCTGCATAAGCACCGGTATAACGGCAGCGGCGGCGGCGGCGGCGACGGCGGCGTCCTCGGACAACATCATCCGGCGAGGAACAGGGGGAAGGAGACGGCGGCCGCGCCAAAGCGGTAGCGGTAGCGAGGGACCGGACGCCTGGTTCTACTACAACTGCTGCTGCTGCCGCCGCCGCGCCCCTTCCCCTCCTTCTCCGCCCCCCCCCCCCCCACCCCCCA